GCAGGCAGGGCTGATACTTCAGGGAGAATACTTTACATCCAAATACCTAAGTGGTATTTGGAGGTTCAGGGAGAATACTTTACATCCAAATACCTAAGTGGTATTTGGAGGTTCAGGATAGAGAAGCAGAGCTGTGGCACTGTGGATGAGCAAACTCTGCTACTGCTTGTACTGAATCTCTGGTTTGGATGAATGCAAGGTTTCAGTTTCTGAGGCCGTCTAATCTGACATCTGTTGTCCACATGTAATTCACCCAGAGTACAACAAAATAGAACTAGAAAACTGAAATTAATAAAATATAACCACCACCACCCCCCCCCCCCAAAAAAAAAAAAAAAAAAAGAAAACTGAGAAGCTGAGGGGTGTGGATTATTCACTGCAGTTCTGGAACAGAGAAGACTAGAGGCTTTCACCTAAAGAACTTGTTTTGTAGCACCCTGTTCTTGTTGTAGGTTGGTACTCTGAAATGATGCTGTTGTGTGAAAGCTCACTACTGAATCCCAAGGGGCCCACATGAGATATTTCTCAAGGTCATAAAAACTTCTGGGATCAGAATCTTAAAATAAATGCATCAGAATAGAGTGACTTTTTTTTTTATGTGCTTGCAGAAATTAATATCTGAAGGATTTCTAGTGTTAATTTTAGTGCTTTTTAATCTGTGTAGTATTGTATGATTGGAATTTTTGTTTCACCACAGTATAGTTATTAAAAGAACTTCATGAATCCTGACGGCAAGGAGCTTTTGTGTTGAAGCAGTTCCAGAAGCAGCCCACAGCATTTATTTTTTGTTGGTGGTAGAAACTTAGCCAAAAAGTTAGTTCCTTCTTTGGAGTTAATCCTCAAAGTCTTCCTCCAGAAAAAAAAGAGGATGGGGACACTGAGGTGAGGAGTTATAGACTTAGACATAATTGCTGATGAAATTTGCATAATGTGCTTTTCTGAGAGTTTTGAGGCCATTTGGTCTTGGACCTCGATGTCATGTACCCTAAAGAATTTTAACAGGTTTTCAGCTTTGCAGTCAAAACCTCTCATCATTTAACAGTTTTAAATATCGTAACCGTAAATACTAAAAATACAAAAAAGAGAAAGATAAAACAAAAAACTGTCAGCCAAAGGCACACGTGCTTGCTTGTGCTCACTTTTTTCCTCCTTGAAAGATTCACTTGCTCTCTCTTTTTGATTTGTTTAGGAGCGTTTTCTTCCATAGAAGAGATCCCAGAAAATATTGTACATGATCATGAGAAGAATGGCCTTCCACGCTTGTCCTCCTTCAGTGACTCTGAAATTAAAAAACGGTAAGAGCTGACTTCCCAGGGATGTGGGAGGAGTTTGGAGTCAGTGGTGTTGTGAGCAGTCAAGACTACAATTGAAGCCCACATCTGGAGTTGAAGATAGCGACTTTTCTGCTCCGCCACTTGTATTACAGCAGTATTCTGTTACACTCACAGATGTTCTTTGACTACCTCCCTACTGGCTTTGAAGGAGAACACCAATGTTGTTGGTGATAAAGTTAAGTGAGCCAAGTGACTCCCTGTGGATATAGGGTTTCTGTAGTTCAATGCATACTTAGTTGTCACATAGCTCACCTTCAGAGGGGAAGGTTTAGTTGGAAGGTCCACCCTGTTGCCTTGTACAGTAAATCTTACTTCCTACGTGTAAGATTGTCATTGCAGGCAGATTTACTTACTGGGGTTGAACGGGATAAGTTTAAAACTTTAGTGCTCCTCAGCCTGAGAGTATTGTCCATTCAGCTGAACCACTTTATCTTCCTGTTTGGGTGCTTGTGGTTCTTGGAGCAGAGAAAACGTTTCTCTGCAGTAGAGCCTTCTAAATTACGTTGCCTAGACTTTTTGTTTGTGTCTGCTCTCATCTCTACTAGAGCCTATGCCATATATAATCCCTGTAAGGGGTGGTAGCATGGAGAGAACAGGACATAAGATGACAGTGGGCGCTTGTAAGGTTGTGCTGGCATAGTGTTTGTGCATATTAAGCCATTCTGAAGAGTCAGCTATCAGTAGAGCTCGGTCCAAGGTTTGTTGCATTCAGCGGTACAAATACATTTATCACAGCTGTGCCTGTGGAAATGGGGTCACTTGATTGTGTTGATAGTGTGCAAGAGAAAATACTATCAGCATGTTCCGGAGAACATGGATCTGTTCTCCCTTCCTGTGAAAAGCCCTGCATAGAAAGTAACTGTTCACCTGGGGAATGAGCCATAGCTAGTTGAAGTTGAATGCCCTTATGATTTGGGTTGTTGCAGTCAGCCCACCACAGAAGTTGTGCTGGAGACACATAACATGGGTTTGGTTGGGAATTCTGAAATAAATTATCGCAGAGTTTATGTGTAGAGAGAGGGATGCTGTGGATCTGTTGATGTAGTTCACTGACCTCTAGCTCTGCCTGGTTAGGCAGAAGAGAGAGAACCTTCAGGAGAACCTGAAGGCTAATCCAAGTGCCTGTTGACACTGGAAAGAGTCCGTCCACCTGTTTCAGTGAGGATTGGGCTCTAAATCTCCTTTCTCAGCTATTTACTGAGATAAAATTTGTTTTCAATTTACTCCTACGGGTAATCTCTGACTACAGAATATTAGAGTTCAGTGGTATCACAACAAAATGTGAAATTCTGTTGAAAACTCTGGTCTCATGAAAATAATGTTCTCGGCCATTATTGAAAACATGACAAAACATTAAATAAAACACCAGATTATTTTTTTTTTTACTTAAGCAGTGATCTGTCTAACTACCTGCCAGTGAAAAATGTGGCCCTTTATGCATTTAGCTGCACCAAGCCACTTTTTCCATGTCTTTGTGTGTTTTGCTTCTTGAGCTTAATCGTGGGGCATTAAAAATATCTTTACCTAGGAGCTTTCAGCATCTTTTCAGCATCTTTTGTCTCCTGTTTGTATGGATTGAGATAAACTAAGCTCTTCGAGTTTGAACAAAGTGTGAAAACTAGGATGAGCTATTTCCACTTCATACTGCATACAAAAACTTTCAGTAAAAAGACAGAAATTGTATTTCTAGTCCTATTGATTATAATATTGATGGACTATTGCTGTGTCTGTGGTCAGAGTTTATGTACATTTTGTAAATCTTTGCTAAACGCTTTCCTTAATTACTTAATTTTTTATTTTTTTCCTTCCTCTGTTTAGACTGAGTTTATACTTCAAGTTTTTTATTGTTAGAGATCCATTTGAAAGACTTATTTCTGCATTTAAAGACAAGTTTGTGCACAATCCTCGATTTGAACCTTGGTACCGGCATGAAATTGCTCCTGGCATCATTCGTAAATATAGAAAGAATCGCACAGAGACCAAAGGGCTGCAGTTTGAGGATTTTGTGCGCTATCTAGGTGACCCTAATCACCGGTGGCTGGATGTTCAGTTTGGTGACCACATCATTCATTGGGTAACGTATGTGGAACTTTGCGCCCCCTGTGAAATCACATATAGTGTGATCGGACACCATGAAACCCTGGAGGACGATGCTCCGTATATCTTGAAAGCAGCCGGCATAGACCATCTGGTATCATACCCCACGATTCCACCAGGCATAACAGTGTACAACAAAACAAAAGTAGAGCGGTATTTTTCAGGAATTAGCAAGAGAGACATAAGACGCCTCTATGCACGGTTTGAAGGCGATTTTAAACTCTTTGGTTATCGGGAGCCAGATTTCTTGCTTAACTGACACCTAGGATAAGCTCTGAAGAAGTGTCTCATGGATTAATCTAAACCTGCGTGAATACCAGCTGCAACACTGACAGAGCTGAGAACGACCATTTGTTTTCTAGCTTTTTGATGTTGCTCCATTTTTCAGTGAAATATTTGTCATATGGACAAGTAGGGGCTTATAGTTGTTGTTTACTGACCATGTTTTCAATATGTGACGTTGCAATCTGTTAGGAACGAAGTCTCTGTTATCTGAAATACAGAATTCTACTTCTCCCTTCATCCCTCCAGGAAAGAAGAGGGAGAATGAATGGGCTATGATCTTCCTCTCCCAGGCAGAATGCCATTTTTAAAATGTGTGAAGTATTTATAAAGATGGCAATTTCACTGTAGGTTAACTCTGACATGTGGTGAACTTGATGATTCATGCTCGTGAGTAAGGCATGTAGTCTCCCATGAGCTTTGAAAATGAGAGGCCAGTACAGGACTAAACATTGATTAAATGCTTGACAAGTAAAATCATCAAGGTTCTGTCATGTGGCTGCCATAATAACAGTACTGGTGATCTAATCCCATTTTTGTTTGTCACAAAATGAACCTAATTAGATGGAAGCTTTAGAGGTGTTAAAAAAGAAACTGGTTCCAGATCCCAGTTGTCTTTGTGTTTTTGTCAAGTGTTTACCGTACTTACTACTGGTCTGTTGAGCCTCATAATTCTACTTTTGATTTTCGAAGTATGATTTAACTCCTGGCTATGTAAGTTATCTGAGAACACCAGATGCAAATGGAGCATAGAAGAAATATGAAAGTGCTAGGGAAATTTTAAGGAAAATTAATTTAAGATAAAGTATTAATAATTGTATTTGCAGGAGCACATATAGAAGTCACGAGATGCTCTCTAAATATCACACTATTTAACTTGTTTTGTCTTCTAACAGTTAAGATTAATAAAGAAGCCACAAAAGCAGGACGTTATGTAAAAGAGCTGCTAGAGTTACTTGAATTAACGATCTGCCTTTTTCTTATCTCCAGCCTTGCTCAATGTTCAGTACCTCAGAGAACAGAAAATTTATCCCCCTCTGAAAATTCATCTCCCCACTGCTAAAGGAGACAGGATGAATCCCTGTTTTTTTCCACTGATTTGCTGCCATGGCATCCCAACTCAAAAATGCCCAACATTTGTGTTATCAATGGGGTGAGTTGGCAACTTGCCAGGAGTATGAATGTCACTTAAATTGGTGTACCCATTTTATGCATTAAAAAAAGGAAAATGGAACTGAATGGATGCAGCCATCGTATTTGCCTGTGCTTGCTTTGTGTCTCGTAAAGAGCAGTCTCTTCTTTGAGTTCACCAGCAATAAAAATCAATGAGCTGCCACCTCATGCCACAGGTCATGGGAGAGAGAGAGCACTTATCTGAAATACAGGAACTGCTCTGTCACAGTGAGCGTGTTAACTGTATTTTTTAAATCTTAGTCCCAAAAGATTAGTTTTCAGATCAACATAACGTTGCTGGCTAGAAATGCTAGTGATGGCCAGTGCTATGGAATCTGCTCTTAAATCCAGCCGCAGTATGTTTTTGATAGCTTCCCGTATCAACACAAGGAAGCATCTTGCACTTGTAAGAAAGGAAAGCTGTGCCAAGCTGAAATGTGCTGCTGCCCACAAAAAGAGAGCCCTGTTGTAGCTGGAAGTGATTTCAGAGAGATCTCAACGGGCTAATTGAAATAAGGGAGAATCATTAACTGGGCATCATTAGCAACAGAATAGTCCAAGGTGGCAAAGCTGGAAGGTGGGATTTTTAAATTAATTTTTTTTTTAAGCAACAATTACAATGCCCTAACTTGTTAGTTCTTAACCAATGATAAAAGGGTGTTAACAGCTCCAGTTTTTTCTGTGGTTTTCTTAGTATGGGAACTTAGCAAAATGTACTGTTAAACGCATTTTGGAGCTAATGAGCTGATTGATTACCTCTCTGCCGATTTAAAATGTAACAGTGTGAATAATGTATAGTGAATTCAGGCCTTAAAGTTTAATTCTAATAAAGATAAAGTAGAATTGTTTTCCTCTGAAAGCATAAGCTACTGATCACACAGAATGCCAATGTACAATGTATCTGTTTCTTTTTTTTTTTTTTTTTTTTGGTAAATTACTTACTGTAGCGATTGCTTAAAAGTTGCCAGGTGGAAAGTGCCATGTAAATATTAAGTAATACTATTTCTTTCTAATAGCTTTCTCTGCACTGAATTCTCTCCGACATCTGACAGCAAACGTGAACAGAGCTATGGACTTACATAGGCAAAGGCGTGTACTGCTCTCCCAGCTCTGTGCTCCTGCACTTTTCAGGCTGGGACTGGAACACTCATTACCGTTTCTTCAATTCAAGCACAAAGTTTCTCCTTTCAGTGATACTCTCCTGAGCTATATTTTCTTTCTAGAAATGTGGGGTTTTTCTTCACATGAATGAGGTAATGATGGTGCAATTTTGGTATGACTTGCAGAAACTTGGATACCGTGAAAGCCTTTGGCAAGGTATGGTAGGGTTCTCCTTATGTCAGTCCAGTGCAGGTAGGGTGGCCAGGGCATACCTTGTTGGGGAGGAGGATCTTGCCATGCAGGTTATGATGAATTAAATGCTTGCGTTTTCTTTTAGCTTAATGGTACTCTATACAAGGCTTTTACAAATTTATTCCCAGTGGCATGGCATGAACGTCATTTGGCTGTTAGGATGTCATTTGCATACCACTTTCAAACTGCAGATGATACTTACGTCATATTTTGGGAACTGCTGGGCCAGATTGTTACTTCCCTTTTCTTACTGTTGTTATAGTTTCAGAAAAAAAAATAATTCACATACTTTGTGCATGTATGTTTCTTTTTGTTGTCTCTCCTCAGCAGCTTTTGAATCCTTTGGCCCATTTTAACCACATTTTACAGAGGAAAGTTGAGGTCTTAGGGATGGTGAGTTGTAGTAGTCATCTTGAAAATAGGAGAGGAAACGTTTTTCGTACATCAGAGAGTCTGTGCAGACAGGAAACTTGAGTTCTACTGCTTCTGCTCGTCGTGGAGCTCCTTGTTCCTCATGGACCATGTTCCTTAGTGCTCCGAGTCTGGCCTCTGATCTCGGGTAACAAAGACAAAAATAATGAATTAAAATGTATTCTGTGGGTCTGTTATCTTCATGTTCCTTATAAAATTAAGGACACTTCTAGAGATCAGCTGACTGGGGTTTTTGGGGTTTTTTTTTGAGGTCTTGGGATTCTTTTTGTCTTCTCTGTGGTGAAAACGGATCTAGAATTCACTTGCTTGTGAACCAACTTTAAGGGCAATGCCTGTCCCCTTTTCTTTTAACTTCAGCCACAGTGCGTTATCACCATTGTGCTTTCTGATCACGTGCTGTGAAGATGTTTTTCTGTAGTGAAAAATATATGTACAGTTTTTTATTTTGGAAACTGTTCCTTCAAAGAAGTAGCAATTCAAAAGTGTCCTGAAAATACATATTTTTCACAGATCAGCTTGTTGTTTTCCTATTCATGCTTCGATGCTGCCCTGTTTGTACTGAGGGTAACAGCCCCCTGCTGCTACCGCTTCTCTCAGTCCTCAGATCAAGGAAGCCATCAGACAGCTCTGGCTTTTGTGTAACATTACTTTTTCCTTGAGGTGTTAATAACTTTGTTGGCTGGGAAAGCCACCTTTGATCTTATCTGTGCTCCAGAAAGTTTGCTGAGAAAAGAGTGATTAGATAGGGATTGCTTAAGCTTATTTTCTCAGATGAAAAAGGATGTCTCATCAGTGTATCTGCCTGTATCTGATATCCCTTAATTGACAGAGAGAGGGTGAATGATTTTTCTGCTTAATGGCCTTATCGTGATTTACACTAAGCCCCCATCCTATTATTACGGCAATGTGAAGGGACCTGGAAGGAGGTGGAGATTCAACGTGTGCTTATTTTAAATGTGAGGGTGTAAAGGCAACTTGACACGGGAGTTGGGCCCTGAAGATTTAGCGTGGCTAATTGCTTGTTACATGTCGTTTCCAGAGGCTGGTGCGGTTTCTTTGTGGCCTGCGCTTGAGAAGATTTATGCAAGGTAGAAAGAGGCTTGTGGGTGGTGGAAAATTCCCTTTCAGCCCAAGTTAGCCGTGCGTGTTCCTGGGCCGCTGCCGCGGGGAAGGTTTTAGAAGGAAATGATCCTATTAGCAGCAAAGCCTGCAGTGCTCCGGCTGGCGAGCAGAGTGCCTCCCTCCTGGAGCAGGAGTGAGCTTGGCTTGCACTGATGTGTGCAGCCGACTGTGGTGCTGCCTTGTATAAATCCCTATTTTTGTGCTTTTAATGCAGTTGTGTGCAGCTGAGCTGTCGTCTTGCTTTCCTGCGTGTGGCTGTAGCCTGAGGTGCCTCATCTTGTCGCCACCAGAGCAGCTTGGAAAGCCCGCAGCCTGTTTTGCTATGCAGTAGGAGACGTTTCCCTTACGGAGCGAGCGGCATTAGGCGTGCAGCTGGTGGCAACAGACTGGTTTAAGCATGGAAATGGTGCTGTTTGGGGCTACCTACTGTAAAATAATTTTTTCCTCTTAATCCAGGCAGGAGTGAAGGAAAAAAGATGTGTGTTTGCCCTGAGTCATAAAAAGGAGCCACACTGATAGAAATTCCAGACTGGTAAACCCAGGCAGGGCAATGTCGGTGAGAGCAACGCTGAAAAAAGCCATGGGCAGTTGCTTTAAAGCCCTATGAAGTCCCCCTTCCATGTTGAAGGAAAGTTGCTGAAGCTTTATGGGAGGTGTCAGGGGAGCAAGCATGCTCCCCCGTATGGTGTATGTGCACACCAGAGGAGCAGCTGCCGATGGGACAGCATGCGCATGGCAGGCTGAAAACAGAAAGCATCTGCTGCAGGTGTCTGTCTGAAACCACAGAAAGGAAGAAAAAAAAAAAGAAAAAAGTGGAAAGGAAGTAATGAAAAAATAATCCTGAAGGTTGCACACCTGGAAATGCAGTACCCACCCTAGCTGCCAGAAATACGTTGACCACCCTGGATGCGTACAAGTCATTTTTGAGCAGTTTGTGGGACAAAAGAAAATCTGCAAATAGCAGGGTAAATGTTGACCATAGGGCATCTGTACACGCTCTGGAAAGCAATGTAATACTGAGAACCTAGCCAAGGCTCTCAATCGTGCCTAAGTAAATGGATCTCATCCACAAAAAATGTATAGCTATGCTGGAAGCATACAAGGAGAAGAAAGAGTTCTTGTGGAATAACTAGCTCTTTCAACAACTGCATGTTACACACCAACTGTGATTTAAGCAGTAGGAACACTTAGTCTTGTAGATTTTTTTTTTTTTCCTCCTGTCTACAGCCTTTCTGTTTTATTCAGTTTTCTTTCCCATGTCCTGAGATGTCTTTGGATGCTACACCCCACAGTATGACCTGTCATTCTTCTGTCAGAAGGGCAGAAGAGGCTGTGGGAAGTACAAAATGTTCTCCATAATTTTGAGGAACACAAAGAGAAAATTCAGGGAGTTGCTAATCATGAATGACTTCTGGTGACTGTGAAACATCAAGATTGCATGAGCTCCTACTTAGATGTTTCATGTGTTGGTCAGGAATTCGCTTACAGACAAATTATCGCTGTTCTGTTCTGTATTTGACGTCTTTGTTCTTACATTTTGAATGGCTTCCAGTAAGGTTTTACAGCAAGTAAAATTTGAAATCTGCCATACTGCAAATCTTCACTTTGGATGCATCTATTTTGTTTTCATTCTACATTAAGTGTTTTGTAGAGCAAGAGTCTACTCTTTGTACTTACTCAGTTTCCTCAGTTCCTGACTGTTCTTTGCAACGTTGTGCCATTTTGTGCTTGTGAAAAGGCAATGAGCCAGACAACTCACCAAACACTCTGGAGAGAACAGGACTGCAAAGTAGACCTTTATTCATATGCCTCTGTCCACATCACAAGCTTCTTTCATCTGCCAGCAT